AACTCTGCATTTCAAATAAGGATAAATAAATATTTGAAAAACTCAACAACCAGCACAAGATTAGATTCATACCATTTATGTAACGTTAGTGGGTAGGAATAGGCTCGACGTAAAGATAACTATGAGACAGATTCAGCTAAATAAAAAGTGAAAAATGGAGACTATTTAGAAGCTAATAAACATTATGGAAGACAGAGCACGCTTTCATCAGAGGGGGATGTCATTGAAAACAGGCAAAATGGTGGACCTCTAAGACACCTAACAAACATCAAGTCAGATATTGGGTACCGAGAAACACTTTGTCCTCATTTCTTCAACCACCAATCACAGCTCACGTGCCTGGATCAGCTGGTGTTCAAGCAGCAGTTAGTAATGTCGAGACTGCAAATGTCATACCCGCACAGGGTTCTGCCAAATGTGTCAGTTCCCCTCGATTCTTTTCTTTTTCTCTCTTTGCGTTTTCGTTCCTTTTTTTTTCCTTTTTCTGTATTAATTTGAGGTTGAGAGGCTGTGTGGTGGGGAAGCTGAGGGATCTCCCATCCTGTGGTTCAGTTCCTACATGTCTTAGGTGCTTAGCTGGGAACTCAATCCAGGTATCCCAGTTACTTAAGTTATTCCCTGCTGCCTTCAGGATCTGAAATGGCAATCCACTGTCAGCAGCAGCCAGAGAAGAGAATCCAACTAGCCACTCTGGCGTGAGATGCAAGTTTCCTAAGTGCTTGGCTAAGCACGTGGGCCTCTTCCCAGCATTTTCAGTGATGGGATGATATTCTCATGAGAGAGTGTGTGTGAGAAAGGAGGAGGGAGGGTGAGCAAGGAAAAATGGAAAACTTGTTTTTACTCTGTCATTATAGTATATATTACACCAAATCCCCTTTAAAAAGGTCTTTGGATTTGCCTCTTGATATTAATAGCATATAATGCACATGAAGTGTTTTACTATTGAATTAAAATAAATAAAACTAAATATTATAATTATCCTGAAAAGAAATCATTTAGTCCTCAAATGATATGCTTAATACAAAGTTGTGAAGTTTGTAACTCAAGCAAAAATTCACCATTACCCATCTCTAGTTGGATGCAGACTAATAATTTATGAAGGGCTTGCATCATAACACCGCTGTCATCTTCCCACAGGGAGGCAGCGTGGGGTTATGGAAGTGGCACCTGTCTGTGAGTCCAGCTACTTGTTCCCACAAGATGCTGGGGGCCCCCCAGAGCAGCCATTTTCCCTTCCTCTGCCAAAAGTTACTGCCATTTTGGCACTCAATCACAACAACCCAACAGAGGAGACTGGACATTTGCAAACCCAATTATATTTGCGGACCCATGCTCAGAGAGGAAGAATAGATGAAGACTGGCATCCACGGATGGTCTCAGGTTATCCAAATTTTCAGTCACTTAGGTAGTGAATTCTACCTCCTCTCTGGAAACTGAACAAGTTTTTCAGTTGAGTTTTCCATTCTGAGTTAAATGAAATGGTCTTCCATTCCAGTGAGTGAAATGTATTTAGATTCCCTGATTCCATTACATATTCACATATTCTTTATGGATTCCTGGAAGTGGTCTTTTTGTTTTGTTTTGTTTTGTGTTTTGAAACTTTACCTTCTAATACTTACACATAATTTAATCAAGTGAAATAGGAGAATTCCTTTTTCAGACTGCCCAAGATGACTCTGAAAGTGATCATGGAGAGCAACGGTTTGTCTGTCTAATCTCTATCATTGTGGCTGAGATTCTACATCCCCATGATTAATTAAGAAAACAATTCTTTTTTCCTCTTTTTACGATTTTTTATCTAAGAGCTACAGGGTCCTTTAAGCATGCACATTTAGCTTCTGACAACCCACAAAGTGCAATATTATTACAGACATAGCCACTTGGGCAGATAAAGAGCACAGCCTGAGCAGGATCCTCAGGAATACAGGCCCAGGTGGTCTCTGTTTCCTAGGGAGGCAAACTGCATGCCTCCCCTGGGAAGAATATGCAAAACAAATTTATATTTACAATTGCTTCCTGTAAGGCTGGTTAAATTGAAGTCATTTTGCCAAACTTCACAAAGAAAAAGAGTACCATTTCCTGAATTCTCTGGCTGATTCTGGCAAAGAGCTTGGAGAGAAGGGAAGTGACTTGCTTGAGGCGATGAGTTAGGAATGTACAGAGCGGCTGAACGGAATCTCAATTGAAACTGGGACAGCTTGTATTTTGTATTTCAACCCTCAATCATCTCTTTTCTCTGTAAGATTATTCTCTTCAACTTCCTCTTAGATACAAGAAGCGTTCCCTCTGGCTGCTGATCAGGAGTTAAGAATCTGAAACTCAGGTTCCTGATGAGCCCTGTTTAACGACGGAGCAAAGGAATGGACAAAATCTGGGTTATTACCACATACAAGACAGCAATCCTCAAACTGCTCTTACCAAATAAAACAGTAAGAAAGCCATGTTTTGTACACATAAATTCATGTGTCTTTGGTGTTTGTTTCATGTATGTTAAAATATGAGCTCAAGAAACAAAATTTGCGCTAGAAAGCTTATGATATGTTTTTGGCATTTCTCTTCCTTCCTCTGACTCCATTTCTCTGATCTCACTGTATCCCTTCCCTACTTTATTGGTGTGCCCCTTTCATTTTTTTGTTTTCTCTCACTCTTTCTCCAACATTTATCCATTAAAGAAAATCCACAGTTTATTCACCCAAGTGCTCAGACCTGACCATCCACATGGGAGATGAGGAGAACGCTCCTGATCCCTGGCTTGGGTCTGGCCCAGTTCCAGTCATTGCAACCAGTTTGGGAAGGAACTAGCAGAAGGGCTCGCTCTCTATCTCTCTTTTTCCCCTCTTAGGCAGGGAGGTAGGGAGTGTGTGTGTGTGTGTGTGTGTGTGTTTGTGTGTTTGTATGTGTCAGAGAGAGAGAGAGAGATTGAAAACAACACAAAAAACAAACAACAAAAAAAAAAAACAAAAAAACAGGACGTATGAGGCTCTGTGCTAGTGAGCTTGTATTTGAATTTGACCTTTCCCAGTTACAAGTTGTATCTTCTGGAGCACACTTCCAAGCCTCAGTTTCCACACCTTGGAAATGGAATATTCACAGAAGCTACTCCAAAGGGTTGTTCTGAATGTTTGATAACTTGATGCAATTGTATATCCCTACTTGAGAAGTTTGAGACCAAAAACGTTTGGATGTTGGATTTTTCTGGATTCTATACCATTGGCATATTTATAATAGGTTATCTCACATGGGAACGGGACCCAAGTCTAAATATGAAATTCATTCGTGCATCACATTTAGTTCATACATATAGCCTGAACACAGCTTCATGTAATATTTTTAGTAATTTTGTAATATAACATTTTCAGAGTATGAAATTTTGCACATGTGGCATCAGATTCATGTTCAAACTTTCAGAACATTCATCATTCTGGATTTTGGATTTAGGATGCAGAACTTTATAGGAAAATTGCCTTTGGCGCACAAGTCCAGATTTCATTAGTCAATAAACATCATATAATACACATTTTTCTTATTAAATAAATTATTGAAATATGATATACTTGTGATGACATGAGCATAGATATATTGATAGTTTTTTTGATCCTGCTACACTTAGAACCTACATTATTTGTAGTATATTATTTATAGTACATTATTTGTACTATAAGAATCCTCATTAAAACAGCATATGTTCTAAGTACTGTAGCCACTCAGATTGTTTGCAGTTTTCTAAGGAATTAAGCAAGGATGGTTTGGGAGTAGATGACTCAACATTGTTCTGGAAAAAGGACTGATGATTTCACCAAACAATATGCTTTCATCATTGCTTGGTAGTCCAGGCATCATCAGAGATAGCAGAAGTTAAAACCGAACATTTCCATGGAGACTGCCAACAATCATACTTCGTTGGTTAGGACACATTTAGTCTACTCTGTCAGATTGGAGGCTCATGCATGGAGCGGGGATGAGATATCAGAACATACTTAGGGGAAAGGAAACGTATCTGAAGGGGATAGAGTCTATATTAATGCAGGACTTTATAAGAAAACTAGAGGTGAGTTGAAGAGAGCAAGTTTGAGGGGAACTCTGATTCTCTCAAATGGTTAAAAAATTATCATATGGATGAGAAAGAAAATTTTTCTGCAGGTGTTGTGACTGAACTATCACATAAAGGTTTCAACAAAATAGATTTGAGCTCTATTTAGAAAATGACTTATGAACAATCAAAGTTGTTAGGACACAAAATAAATAATGACCCAAAAGAGAATGCTGACCCTCCCTGGGAACATTCAAGGTAATATGAGATGACCCAATAGGTATGCCTAAGCAGATTTTTGAATTAGTAGCAAAATCAAGCCACTAAGAATGTCTTTCAAAACTATAATTTGACAGTCTACCACTTGAAAATGGCTTTAATAGGTCTAAAGCCATATCCATATGCATGGTGACATTATTCCCGTGTTGCTTACAACTGTCTTCCCCAATTGGCATGCTCTGTTTCAGTTCTGGAGAAGGCATTTTGCTTTCTCTCCATAATCCCCATCAACAATCAGCTGAGACATTCTACTGAGCCTGGAAACAAACAACACTTGGGTAGCCAAATAGCTTTCCAGTGATTAGACTCTGCCTTTATACAATGGAACTACTTCTCTACAGTGAAGAACAACAATGTTGCAGTTATGTTTTATTTGCTTTTCCTTCAACCTTTAATAAGAAACAAAATGAAAATAACTTGGGCTCCCTGTATACTCCTTACTTTTCCCGTTTCATGCCTAAAACTTGTCCAAATGTTTGCATGTACAAGATTACTTAAGATTCAGCTTATGAAACATTTGAGCTTCGTTTATGATGTTTCTTCTCACAGTGGCTCACTCCCCACCCTCAGCTATGAATCTGAGTTTCTCATCTTGTAGATGAGTTTGATTAATATGTCTGTTGATGATGTGCAAACTCCTTTGAGAAAATGTAAAGCAAAGTTCATTGTTCAAAATTAATGACTTTTCCAGTACCTATCTCAAGGCATCAGAACAAAAACCTCTGTAAAAGACAAGTGGGCTAAGGAGGAAAAAAATTGCCTCCATTGTACAGAAACTGAGACATTTGGACTTTCCAAAGAAGGAATGTGAGTTGGTCAACAAACATAGAGAGGCAAAATGGAAGCTTAAGCAGGAATCCAGGTAATATGATAAATATTTACAGTCAATTTGGATCATGTAGTTCTCCAACTCATCATTTTTTCTCAGGAATAGGATATTTACAGACAGTCTTAACTACGCGATTACAGGAACCTTGGGTCACTTCAGTGGAAAAGATTCACCCAAGATATTTTTAGAAGCTGCAGCCAGAGGCAAAACCCAGGGTATAATTTCTGCTCAGACCAAGGTTGCATTTATTGAGGCCCAATGCATCCTGCCCTTTCTTATGTTTACAGGCGTCTGGATCAGGAGGAGAAAGACAAAAGACATCTAGGGAGAAGTGACGTAGGGATGCATGGAAGGAAAGGCACATGGGGAGAAGCTTAGAACATTAGTCCACAATGCTTTCTAATCCTTTTGAAACTTTATCATCCAACTCCTTCTGCACACCTTGTGTCCTGGCCAGCACCTGAGGATTCCTTAGAGTATAAGAAATTGTATTGGAATATGGATTTTTCTCCCAAGAAATAAATGTAAGGGGAAGAAAAAAAATCAGGATGTCATTAAATGGTAGGTTTACAAAGACCTTCAAAGATTTCCTGGTCAAGTGGAACTGAAAAATTTTACTAGGGTAAAAATTTTGAAATGTGCGCACATAAAGCGGTCTTCAAAAAATCAGAAAATTTGTATTATGACTTATGCATGAATGTCATTTACTTTTCATGAACATTTTGAAGTAACCATCTATTTTTCAAGCCACTTGCCTTGGCTATTCTAAACCCTAAGCATTGCTATAACTTATGCACAATAGGTGCTTAATAATATTTGCTGAGGATGTGAGATGAAATGTAAATCAAATGCACATGATGAAACACAGCACCATTTATAGTACTTCATTTCACTGAATAGCTCCTTCTAGTGAATATGCTAGAGTTCTGTGTCTATTTAGAACTCTAGATTTGAAATCAGAAGACACAAGTAATTTCCATGCAAGTTTGGTCACTCACTAACAGTGTGGGCTTGCCATATTCATTTAGTCCCATCATCTTCAGGTCCTTAGAGCCAAATCATGGATAATAACAGTTTATGTCACAACTTTGAAGTGAAAACAAAATGCAGTAATCATTAGAAAATTACTTTTTAAGCAGCAAGGCTGCAGCCAGTGCATGATTAGAGGGATAAGTTACATTTAATAAGTCACCCTCTTAGTTTTCTTCTGTTGTTTTAGCTACTTTAGAGAATATTACAAATTAAAGAGTTAAGAGGAAAAATGGGTATATTTGTTGTATTAAAACCTACATCATGTATCATTTCAACAGGAACAACAGAAACATGACTGAGTGCCCCATCTTTTACCTCTAAGAAGATTCATATGGAAACACAAGACAACTCCAATAGCAAAAGCAATTTTGGACAGCAAAAACAAAGCTGTAGGAATCACAATACCAGACGTCAGCATGTACTACAAGGCAGCTATAATCAAAACAGTCTGGCAACGGCACAGAAATAGACATACGGATTAATGGAGCAGAATAGAAATCCCAGAAATGAACTAACACATCTACAGCCAACTAATTTTTGACAAACAAACTAAAGTCAATCTAGGGAGAAAGGGCAGACTCTTCAACAAATGATGATGGAAAAATTGGATTTGTGTGTGCAGAAACATGAAGCAAGACTTCTGCTTTGTAAAAAAAAAAAAAAAAGTCAACTTAAATGGATCAAGGATGTAAAGCTAAGACATATTTCCTTTACAGAAAATAGGATAACTTCTTAAAAGGAGAAAAATCAGGATGCAGAATGTCTGGCATCATACAGAATTAGCAGACTGTTAATAGTTGCACAGAGATGTTGTCCTCCTGCATGTCACGTAAATATTTCTACTCTTGAAGAAAGAACATAAAATCCAGCAAGTCCTTGGAGATAGACGCGGAAGTTTGAAAAGTTGTTGATCTAAAGGTTCAAAATTGTGGCGGAAAGTTTAAAAAGATCTATTATATAATATATGATTGCAGTTATTAACAAAGTAGTTTGTATTTTAACATTTAGATACTTTTAAATATTGTCATCACAAAGTAAGTATACATGGTAATATTAACTTAATGTATACTTTCTATAATGTATACATATACAAAACATCACATTGTAGAATATAAGCAATTTTTGTCAAATAAACTTGCTCATCACATTTTTAAGCTCCACATTAATAATGATAGAAAATTAAAATGGGGGATTTTTTTTCAGAAAAGCTGAGTAAAGAATTTCTACTTGTTAATTATCTGAGGCTTTCTATAAGGATAGCAATAAGTTCCCAATGTCTAAATCTACCTGAATATTTACTTGTCCCTCCCAGGGATGCATAGATGTACAGATATAAAATCAGTGCCTGTCAGCTGAGTATGTAAGTGTATCATCTCAATACTTTCATTTGACAACTTTCTAAAATCTCTGGGGAGAGTTGCAACAAATGTAGGTTTCCATCCCTCCCATTTCAGTGAAGCAGCAGTCCAGGTCACAGGTGGGGGGCCCTGTCACCCTCCCTCAGTGACTGTGTGCAGTGTCTGCAGCAGAGACAGACTTACGTGTTAAGAGAATGCAGTGTGCACACACCATATGGCTGGGACCACACTGTTAACTGACCCAACAGACTGGGATTATTTGTTGTTTATCAGACAAGCTTAAGAGAGATGATTGGTAAGACTTTGATCATAGCTCTCCAACTTTTCGAGAAAGAAGAGACATTTTAGTACAAAGATGACTAGCTGCTTCTTCTGATACTTCTCATTATTTGGCAAGACAACTTGGATTCTTTCAAAGCCACAGAGGCCTACTCATGTCTCTGGGGATTAATCAGAGAATTAAACAAATCTTACAGCCGTGAACAAAAGGGAAAGAATGTGGGAGAGGGGATAACTTTACAATGATAGGGAGGAAAAACAAGTTTGTTGGGGGAAAAAAAATATTCGCTTCTGAAATCCACCAAAGCCTGCAGGGAAACGAAATTATTTTGTGATTCCTTGTCACAAATGCAGAACTCTGAAAGAGAATTTCCACTTGCTGGTGAGTGGTCACACATGCTGTCATTTGGCACTACACCCTACACACCTGGGGAGGAACAGGTACATAACAGTTCAGACATAGATGAAGTATTACTCTCGTCAAGGAGAAAGTTCTCAAACTACAGCAATGAGCCAAACTTACTGCCCACAAAGATTGGATGTCAACCTGTTTCCAAAATCCTTTTCCTGGGACTTCCAATTTGCCCTCAGTTAGTTTCCAGGTTTCAAACCCCTGATAAGCTGTCAGTGCATCAATCATATTGATCTTCAGTGGCCATGTCACTGACAGTCACTGCTCATGTAAGTCCACCAAAGGATAAACATAATAGAGGCGCCTTATGCCTTAGCAGACAAGATAAACCTGGGGAAATGAACAAGCTGATTGTCAGAGTTCTAATAAATCACAAAGCTCCCTTATCTGGCATATAACTTTTCACTTATACCAAATAGGAAGCCTATTCCTTTTGGTACCTATTCAATTCATAAGTCTGGAGGGAAGATAAATCTTCCGTTAAAAATAACATAAATAGTATTAGTTTCAAACACTACTTCTTGGGATCCTGTAAAAAGTCCCTTCCAGGCACTGACCTGTACAAAAATCCTGGATTTGCTCTAAGAGTGGCCTAGAACTACCATTCAATTAGCTCATAAGAATGCATCTTCAGTCAGGTAGCACTAACTGGCTCACAAGGGATTAAAGTTCTTGGTTTGACTTTTATTAGCTCTATTTCTCACCAGTTGAAGTACATGACTTCAAGTTCAACTAAGTGGACATACTAGGGGCATGGAGTGAAAACTGTTCACCTTCCTGATGGAGGGAAGGACTGGCACTTTCTGCCTACTACACATGGTTAGGAATTTACGGGGTTGCCTCTTATGGGGATGGAGACTGGCTTGTCCAGACACTAATTTTTTTTTTTTTTTTTGTAGACAGACTCTACTGTCTTATACCTTCCTGCTGATCTGTGGGCTTTGTAACTTGGGTTCTTGATATTTGCAATTGTATATTTGGATGTCCCCTCTTGAAATGAGTTTTGCTTGACCACCTCTGCTCAGATCTTTAATTTCTTCTCACCTTTTCCCTGCTCAGATTAGCCTTGGGCATCCAGGACACGGTTGGCCACTTGGTTACTGTTCTTTCTGCCTGTGCTTCCCTTATTCTTGGTGATCTGGGACTTCTACCCACTCCTAGTGCTCACCCACGGACAGCTGTCCCAGCACTTCCTTGTTCTGGAAGATCTGCTTTGTGTGTTGGGTCTCAACTGCTACACAACCCAGGCTAGTTTGCTGTCACTCATGTCCTAATTAAGAACAAGGAAACACCCTCTGTTATCAGAGCTGCTTTCTCTACACTCAGGGCAGGAGTCTGTAGTCAAGACAAGAGTAGAATTCTCTGGAATCCTGTTCCTGCTAAGTGTAGACAGAGACCAGTGAGCACTGTGGACACCTGGCTGGGTATGTCCACGTGCCAGCCAGGAGACTGGGGACTTCCCCAGCTGAGAGCAGACCAGTGGATGAAGGTGGAATCTCTGTGTGAATTACTCGGGGCCTCCAAACAAAGGTTGCTTGGCTCTTTTCCCCACCTTCTAAAGGCCCACTAAGAAGCAGGCGCTGCATGAGGAATGGGAGTTAAACAAATACACATAAACAACAAGTATTAGGCAACTCTGTATCAATTGTCTTTACTTTTAGCAAGAACATTCAGAGAGAGTTTGTGGCCACACTTGAAAAATCAGTATTCAGAACTGGAGTGGTTTCCTGAAGGTCATATGCCTACTGAGAAATAATTTTGACCCTTAAGTACAACTTCTTCCCAGTTACTAGATGGTAACACGACCTACACATCCATCAATTCATTCCCTCAGCCAACAGGTTTTCCTGAGCGTGACTGGAAGTCACAGATTCCAAGTGTGATGTGAGAAGACCCTTCAGAGGAATTAAAAGTTACTCTGGGACTTCACAAGGCTGTCACGTATGAGAAGGGTCAAGTGCAACAGTTGGTTTTCTTTTACTTAACAATAATAATGAGATGATGAAGAAATGTGCAATCAATAATCTTTCAGAGTAAGAAATGATTGTCAAGTTAATGAAACTCAAGGATGAGGTTTTCTCTATACTTCTAGCATGTGCTGGAGTTCAACAGGAATTTAGACCCATGAAAATGGACCTTTCTAAAGAAGACTCCTCTGCTGACAAAACAGGAATATTTCCTTTGTCATTACATTAAAATCACTTTTTCATATAACATGAAAGTATCCTTACAAACTAGGGAATGATACAACCATTAAGAATAAGAAACAGGACCTGGTGTGGTAGCCTAGCGGCTCAAGTCCTCAACTTGCATGCACCAGGATTCTATATCAGTGCCGGTTTTAACCCTGGCTGCCCCACTTCTCATCCAGTTCCCTGCTTGTGGCTTCCGGGGAAAGCAGTCAAGGACAGCCCAAAGACTTGGGACCCTGCACCCATGTGGGAGACCTGGAAGAAGCTCCGGGCTCCTGGCTTTGGGCTGGCTCAGCTCCGGCTGTCGCGGCCACTTGGTGAGTGAATCAATGGACAAAACATTCCTCTCTGTCTCTCCTCCTCTCTGTATCCAACTTTTCAATGAAAATAAATAAATCTTAAAAAAAGAGAGGGAGAGAGAGAGATGAAGATTTTGATCTAAGCAAGTCGAGGAATTCTTTGGATAGTTGCAAAGGTCTAAGTTAAGACCAATAACTCAAGCAGTAAGCTCTGGAGCAGCTAAAGTTATTCTTAAAGACATTAGTTGTTTATTACTATTACTATTATTATTATTTTAAAGGCTTATGTATCTGAAAGAGTTACAGAGGGGTGAGGGAGAGAAAGAGACCTTCCATCCTCTGGTTCACTTCCCAAATGGCTGCCGTGACCAGGATGGGAACAGAATGAAGCCCTAGCCCTAGCCCCCAAGCCTACATTCTTTCTCAAGCAGACATGGGAGGCCATAGCCACGAATCAGATGGCAGGGTGCTTGCCACACATGGATAAGAGTAAATTGAGTTCCTGGTCCCTGGCTTTGTTCTGGCCTGATCCTGAACTTTGTAGATATTTGGGAAACAGTTTGGTAGCTGACAATGTCGATACTCTCTCTGCCTCTCTAATTAATAAGTTAATGAATTAATTAAAATTTCATACATAAGATGAAACAAGTAGGGTAGGGTACAAATGCAGAGCAAACTAGAGGCCGCTCCTACAGGGCAAGTCACCTTGTTTTTTCCTTATGTAGCAGGCACACAAGATGTTTCAGAACTGCGGCTAAGAACAATTGCTTCTGACTACACAAGGCCCAGCGATGTTACCCTCCATACCTTCTCAATGAAAGACATCTTGTCCTGTCTGCGTTCCATTTGTCTGTGACCTTGATATCTGTTAAGGAACATTGGCTCACTGAGGTGTAAGGCTACCACTATTTGGTCATTTTTAGCTCCTCATTCCCCCAG